TGACCCATTGAACCACCAAGCATGTTGTGCATCAACATGTTTTTGCTCTACCCTTGATCTAGTTTGTTTAAAGTATGTATATATAGGGAGGAAAAAACGGGAGGAGCAGGTATGGTTACCCCTTCTTCCATCTCCATTCTCACCTAATATTTTCGTATCTATCATCTACTCATCATCCACGATAGATAAAATTTTTAAATTCACACACGTCCATGCGAGTGTATTCTCAAATTTATCTTCACACTCACTACCTAATTAGATGCCCACCATTCATCCTGTATCCGTATGTACCTGCCCATGCCCACCAATTTGAGATAGAAGAAACGACAATCTTTAATTCTAAAAGTGTTTATACTTTAACATTTGATTAAAATACAAGTTAAGCCCTATAAAATCTTAAGATTTATATAATAATATCTTAAATTATACTCAAATTCATAATGATCCAAAATTTACATAATGGATAATTAGTAGGCAGACGGATGTGGTGCGAGTAAGATCTCAAACCCATCACCTATCTACTATATACCACGGATATGACTTTTTACATCTACTCCTACTTACTATCTACTAAATTTATATCTATATTTACTTCAATTAAAGTAAATACGATACAAAATCTATGAAATTATACCCATTTATGATCCCTACGCGTATAGGTAGAATAATTAGATACTAATGATGAATGATCATGAAGACGGAGATGAATAACAACAACAAACATGGGTGGGGAATAGTGGATTTTGGGATGATTGAGGAAGGTGTAGCACCTGAGTCACGGTTCAAATGCGGGTCCCACTTTCCCAGACAAGTATCACGAATCGTCCTTTCACTCTCTCCAGGGAACCCCCATCCCTTATCTCTTCCCCCTGTCTTCCCTAAACCCGGTCTTACTTTTAATTATGGTTTAATCATGTGCTGTAAAGCCCTTTCACTTTTTAACCCCAAAAGTCCCTTTTTCATGGACTCACATCACTACTCACTAGACAAAAAATTAACACATCTCTAAGCCCTCCTGAAAATCTCACCCTTTTTCTGTAGGTTTTACTGCAGATACTATTAAAATACTACCAAGTTGTTTTAAACTAGGCTAGGCAGTTTGAACTCAAAAAGCTGCTACAACCACTACGAAAATCAATATATTTTCAGCTGGTCGCTGTCTTCCACGCCCAAACCGCTGATTTCAACGATTGTGTTCGTGCATGAAATAGAACGAGAGTTGAATAAATGTAAGACTAAGGAAGAGAAAGAAAGATAACAGTTTTTGGTGCTTGAAAAAGGGGGAAAAACACCAGATCTAACCTTAGTAAGTATATTTGTTTGTTGGGAGAATTGTCTTAGATTTAAGCTTGAGTTGTGCTCTTCTTGTCTCTTTAAGCTGAGTCACCGAGTCAGTATTATATATATATATATATATATATATATACACACCAATCGTTTATCTACTTGTGTTGGGAGAAATCCTTGTTTTCCTTTTGTTTTATACTGTTTTTTTTCTTACAACTATCAGTTATCAGAATTTAGTTGAAATACCTCCCCAAAAAAAATGTCTGCTGATGCGTTTTCTATAGGGGGTTCTGTTCATCAAGAACAAAATCATGCAAACCCTAACTATAAATCTGTTCCAGTTAAGAAGAAGAGAAATCTTCCAGGAAATCCAGGTGAGTTTTTGCTTTATCTCTCTCTTTTGATAATACCCTTTTCTTTGTTTTTATTATTTTCTTTGTCTTGTGACAGATCCGGATGCTGAAGTTATTGCTTTGTCTCCCAAAACTCTAATGGCTACCAACAGATTCATATGTGAAATATGCAACAAAGGGTTCCAGAGAGACCAGAACTTACAGCTTCATCGGAGGGGTCACAATCTTCCATGGAAGCTGAAGCAAAGGAACAACAAAGAAGCGATCAGGAAGAAGGTTTACATTTGCCCTGAGAAAACCTGCGCCCACCATGATCCTTCTCGAGCGCTCGGTGATCTCACCGGGATAAAGAAACATTTCAGCAGAAAACACGGAGAGAAGAAGTGGAAGTGTGAGAAATGTTCCAAGAAATACGCTGTTCAATCGGACTGGAAAGCTCATTCCAAGACTTGCGGTACTCGGGAGTACAAGTGTGACTGTGGGACACTCTTCTCCAGGTATACATGAATCCTCGTAATAATCAAATACTACATGTTTTAAGGGTTTCGAATTAATTTTAATGATTAGGTCATGAATGGCGTGTGTAATGAATTTGCGGTTCTTTTGAAACGAGCAGAAAAGACAGTTTCATCACACATAGAGCGTTTTGTGATGCCTTGGCTGAAGAAAGTGCGAGATTCAGTTCATCAGTTTCGGCCACGAATCTGAATTTCAGAAACGATATTGTGAATATGTCTATTGGATTTGCCGGCCGAGGAGCTCCTGATGTTGCTGGAATCCATCAATTTGGTTCGGATTTTACACAAGATTTCAACGGGATGACAACATCAGGTATCTGATAATTTGTTTACGTTCCCTGATATAAAATTCTACGTCTATCCTGTGTACGAGCATAATCTTGGTAAAAGTATTGCATGAGATATGATGGGTACTTAACTTAGGAACATGTTAATGTTATTGCCCAGGTATGCCTGAGATGGTTCAAATGGCTTCAGGCAATCTCTTTGGTTCATCATCATCAATTGGCAATTTCGGTACGAATTCGAATCTTCTCCTATTGCCATTGCCACAAGGGCTAAAAGAAGAAGGTGAAAGCAAAGGGAAGTCAACAGAAAACTTTTCGTCTCTCTACTCGGATACTCAAAACAAGCAGCAGCAGGCCAAGTCTGCTGCTACTACAACGATGTCTGCAACTGCGCTTTTGCAGAAAGCGGCGCAGATGGGTTCAACAAGGAGCAACTTGACGTCGTTTTTCGGTGTAATGAGCTCGTTTTCTTCCCATTCCATCAGTCAACAAGAGTGTTTCATGGCGTCAAGCAACAACCTGATGTTACAAACGGGAGCAGTGAAACAAAGTGAGCCGAGCCCGAGTCGATTAAAGATGCAACTCGGTTCGAGTTCAATTGACCAGAGCTTGACTAGGGATTTCCTTGGCATGAGCAATGATCAACCTGCTTGTGCGGTTTTACCCAAGGAACTAGCCAAGTTCGCATCAATTGGGTCGACCATGGGTCTGAGTCAATTCAGCAGCAACCACTGAGTTAAGCTATCCCAAATTACAACTTACAAGGCTGCATCTAGTTTCGAAAAATGTGGTGATTGGGGGACAGAGTTGGAGTCTGGGAATTAATTAATCAAACCCCAGAAAAAGTAACAGAAGTTCATCTTGTGAATCGTCAGTAATGGGGTCACGATTCCTTGTTTGAAATGACTAATCAGTGAGCAAAAATTACTCCAAGTGCATGCATGCATGTATTTTGTTCTTCTTGTTGTTTCGCTTGGTGTCTTAGCTCTCTTATCTTTGTTCACAATTATTTACCCTTTGCTTATATCTCTATATATGAATTTTCTTGCTTTACTCAAGTATTCAGTTGACTATTATTCCACATATATTTCTGATCATCTCTATAATCTCTAGGTTCTGAATTGGAATAATACATTTATAAAATAGTACACGTTGTTAATGATTAAAAAAAAATTCTAAACAACCAATGATAAATTGATTTAGTGAGATGATACATTAAATTTCTTAAGCGATGTCAAATCGTGACAATTAAGAATGGAATAAACTGACTTGGGATTTGGGAGTAAGGATGAAAATTTAATTCGAAATTGACGGGTTTTGATCCAACTCGATAGGGTCGATTTTTTTTAAAAATTCGGGTTTGGGTCGATTCAAATATTTTAAGGGGTGAGGTTGGATTCGGGTGGAGGGTGAAAAAACTCTGACTCAACCCTATCCGAGAATTATGTAATTTCTTTAAAATATCATTATTTTTTAATTAAATTCTTATTTTATACGGGGTCGAGTCTAATTACGTTGGATTTATACTCTAAAAAAATTGGGTCAGATTAGAGTCGGGTGGAGGATATATTTTTTCGGATGGGGATAGGTCGGATGGAGGATATATAATTTTAGGATCGAGTCGGGTTCAGATGGAGGATACATATTTTCAGGCCGGGTTGACTAAAAACTCTACTCGTTGCCATCCCCACTAGAGAGGATCGCCGCCATAATGAAACTTTGCAAAATTCAAACTAGATTAATTAATCAATAGATTATACCAATAGTTAATAAAAAATTATAAATAAATACGATATTTTAATCAATAAACTATACAAATATACATTTTTAATTAAAACTATACTTATATAAAAAAAACAAGTCTAAATATGAGATGAAAATAAAAAAAACGTTTATATGATTCAATCCAAACCCTATATAATTATATGTCACTTGCTAAAATGAATATTATATATATTCAATTGAATTAAATTTTAAATTTAAAAACTATGCATTTATTTAAAATCATTATAAATATATGTTAAAACGTAAAATGTTTGACATAATTGAGTAGTGGGATCTACCTTTATATTTGTACTTCCAAGACTCACTTTTGAGGCTTGGATCACCCTGTCTTTGAAGTTTCAAACTATATATTATATTTTGATTTAATTCCAATAACACCCTTAACACTTCCACCACTTTTTACAACATCTGCCTCTAAATTTTGAAATAAATTATTGATTTTTTTATATTTTGTTTTTGTTAATTTTGTGATGTATGACGTTATTGAAATCTGTATCATGCATGTAAATGTTTTATCAACTATCATCCTTTGAACAAATTCTTATAATTATGTATTATTCATAACTTTATAAGTGTTTGCATGTACATATTATAAGTTCATATATATATATTTGAACTAAATGTCGGTTGTGAGTATATTAAAAATAAAACAACTGGAAAGGAGGCACCAACTGGCAGTTCAAGAGTTTCCAACATAAATACACAAAACACAAATAAAAAGTCTGAAAAAGAAAACTCAAAAGGTAAAACAAGCTAAAAAAACAAAACACAACCGGACCAAAACTTCCCCCATCTTTATGAAACCCAGTCGCGAACACAGAGAAGCTGAAAAGAAAATCCCAATATCAAACCGAAAAGCTTGAAAACACTGTGGAAACTTTACTCTAAGGCGGATTGAACCACCTTTGATCCTTCGCCACTTGCTCCATAACTAATATCAGAGCTTCCTCGACCCAAAAGAGGTCTTTGCTACCTGCTGTGGAATCTTTCGCAAGAAGGTGAGCTGCCAAATTTCCAGACCGGTGGACAAATCGAAACGACACATCTTGCATAGATGAAGCCAACCGTTGGCCATTAGAAACCAAGGTTCGTACTTTAGACCAATCTTTACTTTGACTCTGTAATTTTTGAATTATGGCAAGAGAATCACCCTCAAATTCGACATGCATGAAATCTAATTCTCTGGAAAAGAAGATTGTGTGCACAGCGGTTGTTGCTTCAACAGCCATCGCCGAGGTAACACCCCATATTCTCTGTCTTGCAGCTGCTTCATCTTTGATAACCACACCTGACCATGCTTCCTTACTACTGTGCAAGAAACTTGCATCGAAATTAGTCTTAACTTTTGAAGGTGAAGGGGGGGACCAGTTAACCTCAGTCATTAAAAAGGAAGGTTGGAGTGCCTGGGAGCCCTCAACGAACTCTTTGCAATGAGCCCGAATGAACGATGCAAGTTGTCTGGTAGGTATAACTTTACCTTCATGATAAAGCTTGTTTCTAGAGGACCAAAGTGTCCAAACTATTGTTAAAATCTCACCATGCTTCTTTACTGGATAGATGTTAAAAAACTAAGATAACCACTCTTTAATTGTCCATTGCTGACCAGTCACAGGCTAACTATAGGCAAGTACCCCCCAGATTAATCCTGCAAACCAATAGTCACGAATCACATGCTCGTTTGACTCTACTAGAGTAGTGCACCGAGGGTTATTAATTACCCGCTTATGAAACAAATTCATCTTTGTAGGGACAAAGTCACGGGTAAAACGCCACATTTGATGCTTTATTTTCTGATGACATTTGTTTTCCCAAATCTTCTTATAACTCTCTTGCGACAAATTTGTCCCACTGTCAATATTTATCAATAGTTTGTAACCACTTCTCACAGTGAAGACCCCTGACCATTCCCCACTCCATACAAGACAATCTTCCAAAGCCATCAATGGAATATGAATATTAAGGATTAAATCGGCCTCACTTTCAACAAAGATACCTCGAACAAGACCTATTCCACAACTTGCCATTTACCTCTAAAATATCTGAAACACGTTATACTAAAACAGAATGTGGAGAAGTGACCCTACCCTGCGGGAACATAGGGAGCCAATAAACATTCCAAACTGAAACAAAAGTGCTAGATCCAATGCTTCATCGAATACCTTTTCTAATAATCCTCTAGGCCTCCAAATACTCCTCCAAACATACGATGGATACGAACCCAATCTAGAATGCATAAAATTTGACGTAGGGAAATACTTAGCTCAAAAAATTCTGCTCACCAAAGATTCAGGATACATCATCAAACACCACCCCTGCTTCGCCAATAAAGCCACATTAAACTTGGACAAGTATCAAAAGCCTAACCCCATGCCTTCTTTAAATCACATAACGCTTTCCATGTACACCAATGTATCCCTTTCATTTCAACAGTCTTCCTCCACCAGAACCATGCCATTAAACCATCCAGACTGTTAACCAAACTCTTCGGAAGAAGAAAGCAATTCATTTCATAAACGGGAAGTGCATGGATCACTGACTTTATGTAAACTTCCTTTCCCCCGAGAAATGAAACAAATACTCTAGGCATGTATACGAGAAAAGAATCTATCCTTAAAGTAGACAAACGATTGTCTCTTATTTTGACTCACCAGTGCCGATAATCCTAAATACTTTTCTGGATTGGGTGAGCTATCAACTTCAAGGATTCATTTCACATCAGCCCTATTTGCATCAATAACATTGGAAATAAAAAACAGCCCCGATTTCTCATAGTTTATCAGTTGATCAGTACTTCCATAGATACGAAGAATCTATTTTATTTCACTAGCCACCCTCAAATTAGTCTCTCTAAAAATTAAAGAGTCATCCACAAAAAGTAAGTGTGAAATAACCAGATTGTACCTGTTAATGCAGACACCCTGCATCCTCCCTAAAGTAAGCGATTGTCGGATGAGTGCAGATAAGCCTTCACTATAAATCAAGAAGAGATAAGGACTAAGAGGGTCCCCTTATCGAAGACCCTGTTTCGGGTAAAACATATCCCCCATGATACCGTTAACCCCAGCAGCGTAGGAGACTGAGCACACACATGTCTTCATAAACTGGATCTAGTCAAGATGAAAACCCATGCGATTCATCACCTCCCAAATAAAATCCCACTCAGTTCTATCATACGCCTTACTCATATCAACCTTCAAAGCGAAAAAAACCCCGTTGACCTGTACGCCTTTTAAGTTTGGAGTGAAGAATTTCATATGTAGCCAGAATATTATCAGTAATAAGGTGGCTTGGTAAAAATGCACTCTGAACTTCATCGATGCATAAATGTAACAAATTCTACATTCTCATCATGAGCACCTTTGAGAGTATATTGTAAAGGACATTGCAAAGACTAATTAGAGGGAGACTTCACTTTTGGAACAAGAACGACGTGAGTTCGATTAACCAGCGACATCACATTATGTCCATGGAGTAAATCAACACAATATCCTGCCACTTCCAAACCAAAAATGTGCCAAAAATGCTGATAAAAAATAGCCTCCAAACCATAAGGCCCCGAGGCTTTGAGCGGGCATATAGTCTTCACAGCGAATGTCACCTCTTCATAAGTGAAATCTTTCAACAAAGCAGTATTCATCTCAGTCGTTAGTCGGATGAATTCTCTCCAAAGTTCAATCATCAATTGTGGTAGTCAAAGAAGAGAGCAAGGAATGAAAATAGGATTTAACTTTCTCACCAATCACCTCAACACCTTCCAACCGAGTATCATCAGCCCTGTCAAGAAATAATATTCGATTTTTATGTTTTCTCTGAGTAACATAATTGTGAAAGAACCTGGTATTATTGTCTCCGTTCTTAAGTCAATTGGCTCTCGCACGTTGCTCCCAATAGAGCTCAATTATCAGTTTCCATGTATAATCGAAGTTTCACATATTTAATTTTATCAAGAACCTCCTTCAATAAAACAAACCCCTGAAGCTCACACAATCTTCGCTTTAAATCCTCCCCCGTAATATGTTTAGCCTTGCACACACGACAAAACCAATTATCAAGTCCAAGACTAATATAATTCAATCTATCAAGAACCGAGCCAGAAGAAGATTCCCAAAGCCAACGTACCTCAGATTCGTAATTCTCCTATAAAAGCCACGAAGCTTCAAATCTGAAGTGGCACTGCCGATAGGTACTCCCCTCGACTTTAATGTTGAGAAGCAATTGAAAATGGTCCAACTTCGAGGATACCAAACGAGGATACCAAATGAGACAAAGAGTAGTGCGAAAATTTATCAAACCACTTTTCATTTACAACCCCTATCTAGCATCTCTCTAATATTTGTCTCTAAACGATAGCCCTCTCCTAAGTAAATCAAGATCTCGAGTACCCAATGTCTTCAAGTCCACAATCAACCAAACAATTATGAAAAACATCCATTTGTCTCTCACTCCGAATAAGGCCACCATTTTTGAAGCAAAAAAAATCTCATTAAAATCACCAATGACCAACCATGGGATATCTGGCCTAGCATTCAACCTCCTCAATAATTCTTATGATTCACATCGCATGCTCTCTTCTGGTGTTCCATAGAACCCCGTACATTGGCAAACCACCCCATCTTCAGCCTCTTTTATCACCACATCGATGTGCCTTTCCAAAAAAAACGCAAAGTCATTACACAATCATACGCCAAGCTAAACACAAACCACCACTACTATCAAACGAATTAACCTCCAAACCATTCGAAAAAGCAAGAGATTTGTGAACAATTTCCATATTAACATGTTATAGTTTTGTTTTAATAAAATAACTACAGTTGGGTTAACGTCTCTCAGTAAATGTCGGATATGCTTAATCGCTCGAACCCAAACCCCGGATGTTCTAGTACATGAGCTTCATTGAGATCGGTTGACCTAGGATTGCAGATCTGTCGTTGGTCTAATGAGATCCTTGCAAGAACTCATGTCTTCAACAACACCATTATGGCTAGAGGAATATTGCTAACGTTTAACAATATCCCCTCTTTTCACCGTAATATTGTCATTCGCTTAGATCATAATCACATCCATGGAGGTCTTAGTAGCCAAAACCTATTCTGGTCAAGGATAGACAGAGCAAAAGACCCCTGGATACGCTCATTCCTTCCATCCCTGGTACCACCCGCCCTCAAATTCTCTTTACCGAAACCAACATTTATACTCTTCACCGAACTCGTCCCTTTACCTCATCACATTCCTCTCAGAGCCAATGACAGTGAACTACTCCTCGTTGCTTTGGGGGGCTCACAAAGAAACGTCCCACTGAAACACAACTTCTGTCATGTTCTAAGAGATTCGTAGAGGGAAGAAACTCTCTCCGTGACCCAACTTACCATACAGAAAATAAAACAGGCTCAACTTCTCATATTGAAAAGTAACATAACCACCTTCCTATTGGGCAATGCTAATTTCTTATTTTGTTTAAAAAATACGAACATCTAGCCGAACACGGGCCCTAATACTTCCCTAATACCATATGTAATGGCTAAGGAGTCATACTCTAAGAACTCTCCAATGAAATTGCCAAGGAGATTTGCAACTGATTCTGAAAAAAAGCCAGTAGGGAGATCATTGAAACGTATCTAAATCCACAGTATGAAAATGAGTTAGTGAACATCAATGATCATGCTCTAACATTGCTCGAGCTTCAGGGTATGCTGCATGGTGTGCAAGGAGAAGATTTAAGAAGCTTGTAGTTAAGCTCATAGTTGATGGTGTATGCTGGGTTGCAGACAATCAGAACCATAGGTTGTTAGGCTGTTGTTACACGGTTATATTTGTCAAAGTCTGTTAGGAAGTTTGCGTCTTGGTTCAGCAACCAAGTGCTATATAAACCATGTAATTCTTCACTGGTTTGTCAATGAAAATGCAGTAATTGTTTTGATATAATGGCACCTTTCTCACATGGTATCATTCGCCGATGATCCTGCGGCCATCTTTATTTCGTTTGCATTTGTTGTTATTTTCTTTCTAAACACCGATCAGTCACCGAATTCTCAACCACCGTCCATCGCTATCCACCGTACCTGATCTCAGAGTTGATTTTGTTACGAGGAAATCACTGGGCTTGATTGATTAATCTGATGCCTCAACGCCACTGTTTCTTCCATTTCAATTCAACAATGGTCAATTCATACGTTGTATGCTATCTTGAACTCATTCCCTTCTTAATGGATGCATGCAAACTTCATTGGGTTGTCATTGTTCTTCAACTGATGTTCACTGGTCTCGGTTTACACCAAATGAGTCTAAGTTTACACTGTTCCTCATCATCTGCTGTGTATGGACCTGAGTTTACTAATGAGGTTTGGTATACTGTTTTCAATTTATCGAAGGTTCTCAATCTTGTTTGCTTCCCTTGTGACAAACCATGCCGATCCAAAACAGAAAGCGATTTGCATACAAACCGAACAGGGCATACCGAGTTAGTAGATAAGACTTTGGAGGTAGCAAAACCAATCAATTTGGAGGTCCCAAAGGTAGCAATGGACTCAGAAGAGGCTGTTGATGTAGGTAGCACCAGCCAGTCTGAAGAGATGGTTGTGCCAGAGGTTGGCAAAAAACTGCTTGAAGATCTGGAAGCGACGGGTTTCCCTACCGCACAAGCAATACATACTATCCACTTTTCTGGTAACACAAGTCTTGAGGTTGCCGTGAACTGGGTAGTTAAGCATGATGCTGGTCCAAACATAGATGAGATGCCCAAGGTATCTGTCAATAAAAATGCTGAGGCACCTAAACCTTCTCTTACACCGGAAGAGATGAAGGTCAAAGCACAAGAGCTAAGGCAGCGGGCTCGGAAAAAGAAAGAAATGAAGGTGAATAAGAAGAACGAAAGAAAGCATCGCACTTCCGATTCAAATAGAACAGAATGAGGCATCAGCAGTTTCGATTCAAATCGAACGGAATGAGGCATTGACACTTCCGATTCAAATCGAACGGAAGGAAGCATTGGCACTTCCGATTCAAATCGAACGGAAAGATGTATCGCACTTTCGTTTTGGGTGTTCATCTTTTCATCAAGAAGGTTGAATGTTAAAAATTAGTTGTAATTAGTTTTTAGAGCTTGCTGTAATAGTGTGTTCAAGGTCAGAAGAACAAAAGAAGAAGTAGAGGGAATGTTAGCATAATGAGTTAGTGAACATCAATGATCATGCTCTAACATTGCTCGAGCTTCAGGGTATGCTGTATGGTGTGCATGGAGAAGATTCAAGAAGCTTGTAGTTAAGCTCATAGTTGATGGTGTATGCTGGGTTGCAGACAATTAGAACCATAGGTTGTTAGGCTGTTGTTACACGGTTATATTTGTCAAAGTCTGTTAGGAAGTTTGCTTCTTGGTTCAACAACCAAGTGCTGTATAAACCATGTAATTCTTCATTGGTTTGTCAATGAAAATGCAGTAATTATTTTGATATAATGGCACCTTTCTCACAGTAATGGCTAAGGAGTCATACTCTATGAACTCTCCAATGAGATTGCCAAGGAGATTTGCAACTGATTCTGAAAAAAAAGCCAGTAGGGAGATCATTGAAACGTATCCAAATCCACAGTATGAAATTGAATTGTTAATAGATTCTCCCTAGGACCAAGACGGTGGAAAACTAACAAGTGAACATTAAAATAACACGGGCCATCACGCATAATTCTGTCCACATCCACCGTATGAAACAATCTGAATAAATACCTCTCCTCACCCAGATCCGAGATTGCTATCCCTCCAAGAGGGTGCCACAAACTCGCCAAGGTTGCTCTCATAATCTGAAAATTGATCAAACTATAAGTAAGAAAATAACCTATAATGCAGTGTTCATAAGAAATACCCGAACCATCAACCCAAGCTTCCAGGGCCAAAATCTCATCTTCATCATCGTCTAATTGGAGATCATTCAACCTTTGCTCTATATTGGCTATCAGAAAGGATCGAAGAAGAGTCGCAACCAAAGAGTAAGGCCAGATCCCGTACTAAACAACAAACAATGCTAAACAGAAACACTTAATCAAGCAATGGTAAAACCCTAGAAAACTGTCAAAAGCATAGGAAAAAGGGCAAAACCCTAGAATAGAAAAATAAGATAAATTCCCATTATAAGTTCATATATATATATATATATATATATTGATAAACAAAATTATCTGTATTTATTTGTAAGTATTTCAAAATTAGGCAGAAGACATTTCCTATAAGGTTTGGTGGAAATTTCACTTATCTTTTATAGTTTGAAAATATCTGCATATCCTCTGAGATTTTTTTATAATGAATTTTCCATTAATCAATTATTGTTGTGAATATTTATTTATGTGGATCTTTATTTCTACATCTATTTATAAGATAGGGTTTTAGTATACTTTAGTATTATTAGGAGATTAATATAATTAGAGTTAGAGTCATATATGATATATACTCCTTATGCTTATAAATATGAAATTCAGAGAAAGTATTGTATACAATTTATTAAGATAATAATACAGTTCTCTCCCTTTATCCTTATATATCTTCTCCTTATTGCTCTTCTTATTGTTTTGTTTAGATTATTTTATAACACGCTATCAACACACAACTCAAAATTAGATTCATCATGCACACTCTTCAATCAGAATCTCGAATGATACAGATTAAATTTCTAATCGTCAACGTACCACAATTTCAGATAAAAAAAATTATACAAAAAATTATTGAGTTTTTGTTATCCTCATAGTTTGATTTTGCAGTTTAGTGCCTTAGGAAGGTATGCCCACTAAATTAACTAAACTTTTAAATGCAAAGGAAGTATTTACCTTTTAGCGGGTACTGTGAGACATACAAAAGTTTTTTACTTTTATGAATTTGCTGGATTAAATTTCAGATTGTTTATTATTATTAATTTTCCATTGAGTGCATCCTAATCTAATATGATTGAACTTGTTTTTCATCATGTGTTCATACAAGCTAAATAAACCATATTTTGAGTTATTTCATACTATTTTTCATATGGTAGTTCATTTTATTTTTCATCTAGATATCGATCATATATTTATTATAGTTTGATTACATATTAATGTTAGATAATATTATAAATACATATAAATTTGTGATACGTTTTAACATTATTAAATGATTTTGGAAGTGTTAATATGCTTTCCTGATGTTATAAATAAGAACACACTTCCATTTTATTTGTTTATATGGGATTAATGAAAATATGTTTTTCTTTTGCACCAAGCGAAGCTCATATATAACGATAGTTTTTCGATACACTTTTTAACAGTAAAGTTTTCATCACATTGCTTTTTAAATTGTGGATTGATGTTTATAATAAATGATTTTCTTTTTCGTTCTTTGAAGTAAATGCAAGTTATTTCCTTATGTCAATTGGGATTTAATATTTTTGTTTGTGGTTATGATTTTATCATGAAAGAAAATTTGTTTGATAATCTATATAAAGACAAACATGATGGTAATGATATTGTTAACAACTTCTAGATACACTTACCATGATCCATTTTTATTTGTTACATTTCTTATAGTAAATTATTATATTATTAGTTTTGTAGTACCAAATCTTTTGAAAGCTCAAGAGCTATATTATTCTCCTTGGAATAAATAATTTTATAATGGATAGTGTATTTTTTAAGTTTTGAGAAAACTTATATCTTAAAATTGTCCAACTTCTTTTGTTTGTACTACATATGGTATAGTAAACCAAAAGTTTACAAATTTAAACAACTTTAGTTAGTTAGCATGATTGGTTAGGCCATCCCAATTAATAGTGATGCAAAAATTATTGAGATTTGCATAAATTTAAAGAACATGCAGATCATGTGTTATATGTTCTCAAAATGAATTTAGAACATCACTAGTTATAGTTAAAGTTGAGAATGAATGCATTGCATATCTCTGATTGAAATATGAGTTTATTTACCCACAAAATGTAATTTGTTTTAGTGGTTTTAGTATATGCATCTACAAGATAAATCACATATATATTATAGACGCCCATTTTTACTCGGTTCGGCTTTTTTTTATTTTATTTATTATTATATTATAAATATATTAAATAATTAATAATATTTTTTATTTTATTTAATAATATTAAATGCTCGATTACAAATTACAAGACCTAACATTTTGGAAACCCTAAATCCCACATGCAACAATCCAACAAAATTAGGGTTACACCCTAGTCTCCCCATCGCCGCCGCCGCCTATTGCCCTGCAGTGTCGCACCGTCGTTGCTGCTTACCGTCGGAGTGTCCTTCCGGGGTTATTCGAGTAAAGAGGGCATTTTGCATTATTATTAATTTATAATTTATAGTATTTGAAAATCAAGATAAACGATTTTATTCAATTTTGATAAAGGTTCTCTTTTTAGATACACTCGTATTCTCTTTATATAATAAAATATTTTCATAAAAATCAAGTTATATCTATTTTTTAGGGAAATATCTTGAATGAAGAACGGTCAATGGGAAAACCTCCAAAATAGTTGAGGTTCGATTTCTTAAGATGTACGAGTGAAAGAACACCACGTTAATTTCAATTTAATTAATATAAACATTCAGTGGGTCCTTTTCTATTATTTATTGTTATTATTTTTGGCATGTTATATTTGATATTTCATCCATCTTGTACATATCATATCATTGTTGCATTCATAAATAATGTATATGTTTTTTTTATGTTTTTTTAATTATTCAAAGTAACTGGATTTCAATTTCCGTTAATCCATGTTGTAAGAGGACACTATTTTTAAATAAAGCCGAGTGAATTAAATCACCTTTATCGAGTCAAGTATTTTATAAATAAATTCAATCTTTTCAAAATTCATAAGAAGTAAAGATGATTGTAACTTAAATTTTAAATTCAAATATATAAAGTCCCACTACTTAAATAAGGTATAATCGAGGGTACAAATTTTGGGCGCTGTAGAGTGTTAATCGAGTCTTGATTTATTTTATCTTTGTCAAAATGTTTGTGAGTTCCTTCTCACACACATCACGTACATTTGCATATCATAAGCTTTATATCTGAGCTTTGTCTCGCTAAGTGGGAGTGAGTCGCTAGTGCCTTCGTGAGTAGACCTCCGCATAGCCTAGTGAATCACTCTCGGAGTACATGCCCTTATGATCTTCGTGAGTAGCCCTCCGTGTAGACATAAGGAATATGCTTCCTCGAATTGAACTCGATCCACTTAAGTCTATAATGGATGAGGATTGAGGGTTTGGCCGCCCAATGGGGCACCAACATTAAGGACAATTCAAGTACCTTTTTTCCTAGAACCAAAACCATACATATAGTGAACCATTGTCGTCAGCAATAATGTCGAAGTTATGTTCGATAGTAGTCACCCTAATAGATGCACACAAAGGAAGAATGACTTTGCATCTTTAATATTTGCTACATAGAATGAATAATTTTTCGAACAAGAGCATGCGAACTAGATACTATGTGGTTATGATTATTTTGCGAAATAAATCATGTTGAGTAAAAAGCATGCTCAGGTAGGATTTTTATTTTAATAAAATCATATTTGAGTAGATAGTGTGAGGGTAGGTGTTATATTCATCTTTCAATTTATATTTTAGGGTAAACTACACGAAAGACCACCAAACTATGGTCATTAATCAATCTTGCCACCGAACTATTTTTTGTCTCAATTTGACCACCAAACTTTTTAATTGATTCAATCAGACCACTCTCCGTTAAAAAAACGACCGTTAATTTGGTGATGTGTACGTTAATAAATTGGCATAATTATATAATTGGTCCTTAATATTTACATATTCTATCAATTTAGTCACTATTTTAATTTAATTAAATAAATTTATTTGTCCAATTAAAATATATAACATGTGTCAATACATGATTGGAAGGTTTAATTTAAGAATTTTAAATTATTTAATTAACTAATTTTTTAACCAATCAGGTGGTGACACGTGTCACCACCCTGATTGAAATGGAAAATTGAACAACAAAGTTGAGCCCAAGGAGTTTCAAACCTATGTCCAAAGGGGCAAAGAGTAACCAAGCGCCCAAACCGTTGAGCCAAAGCTCCCGAATGGGTCTAACTTACAACAATTTGTATTTGACTTGTATCGTTAAACAAATTATTTGGTTAAATAAATTTCAGTTCGATTAATGGTTACATAAAAAATTCGGTTAATTCATTTCGGTTAATAATTTTCAAATAAATTTCGGTTCGATTAAAGGTTAAGGAAAAAATAATTTATTTTATTCGGTTAATTATTTTCAAATAAATTTCGATTCTATTAACGGTCAAATAATTTCTGTTCGATTAATGGTTAAAGAAAACATTCAGTTGATTTGGTTGGTTAATAATTTTCAAATAAATTTCGGTTCGATTAACGGTTAAAGAAAAAATAATTTATTTTATTCGGTTAATAATTTTGGGTGCGATTAACGATCAAATAATTTCGGTTCGATTAATGGTTAAAGAATTTGGTTCGGTTAATAATTTTCAAATAAATTTTGGTTCGATTAACGGTTAAATAATTTCGGTTTGATTAATTTTAAAGAAAAAATCCAGTTAATTTGGTTCGGTTAATAATTTTCAAATAAATTTCGGTTCAAATAACATTCAAATAATTTCGGTTCGATTAATGTTAAAGAAAAAAATTCGGTTAATTTTGTTCGGTTAATAATTTTCAAATAAATTATTTTTTCCTTAACCGTTAATCAAACCGAAATTTATTTGAAATTTATTAACCGAATCAAATTAACCAAATATTTTTCTATAACCATTAATCGAACTGAAATTTATTTAACCAAATAATTTGTTTAACGGTACAAGTTAAATACAAATTGTTGTAAGTTAGAATTATTGGGGAGCTTTGGCCCAACGATTTGGGTGCTTGGTTACTCTTCTCCCATTAAACGCAGGTTCGAAACTGCTTGGGAGCAACTCTGTTATTTAATTTTCCATTTCAATTAGGGTGGTGACACGTGTCACCACCTGATTGGTTAAAAAATCAATTAATTAAATAATTTAAAATTCATAAATAAAACCGCCCGAGAGCTTCCACTTATTCTACACCTCTCAAGTCATTTCATAAAGTCGGACTAGAGTCAAGCTCAACGGGGTCTTCCAATCATGCATTAACACGTGTCATTTTCTAATTTGATAGTTAAATTTATTTAATTAAATTAAAATAGTGATTAAATTGATAGAATATGTAAATATTAAGGAACAATTATATAATTATGTCAATTTATTAAAAGCCACGTCGGACTCTCCATTTTTTTTAACGGAGAGTGGTCTGATTGAATCAATTAAAAAGTTTGGTGGGCGAATTGAAACAAAAAATAATTCGGTGACAAGATTGATTAATGACCATAGTTTGGTGGTCTCCCGTGTAGTTTACCCTTATTATTGTACGTGCACTAATTCAATTTTTTCATTTTTTTCATTTTCACTTTTATAGTACCATGTGCCTGCATGGAAGAACGGTCGTGTCCTGAGGCTCCGAGAGGCAAATAACGCATTCTTTTCCACTATCGTTTGCATCGACATCGTTGTCGACGGAATTCCCGATCCCGTATATTTCTTGCAGCTCATACCTCAACCCGTTCACTCACAGGATCCGTTTCACTACTTTCGTCTGGTATTCGCCCTTGTCCTTCTCGAGCACCGCCTGCGTTATCTGAGAATTCATGGCTCCCGACTCTTGGTTACCGTTTGACAAGTTCTCGCCGAGCGGCGTTGCCTCGGCTTTCACGGCCAGATGATAGATATCGACTTCGAATAGTTTGAGAAGTTCCGACTCCTCGAACATAAAGAAATCGATCCCTGTCCCAGGGGGCAATCTAAACTTCTGTACTAGACCTTTTTCGAATGGTAAAATCACTGGGGGTAGAATACTTTCCTTCATTGCTGTCAGATTACAGTCTTCACCTCCTTTTGCAAAGAAAATAACAGTCATCCTGTTTGCAGAACAAACCAAATACTATGAAATAAAATCAGATACAAACAGCTATTTACAGACTGCTGTTCTCGATTCTATTATAATTTAAATATTTTGTACTGAAAATTTATTTTCGTTCCAAAATTTTATAAAATCGAGAAATTCATAACTACAACCATTAGATTCACGTTCAAAAGAGAGTGGATTTTTATACCTTCCAGCAACAGTGGCATCAAACGTGAAAGAAACCAAGTACTTGCCGGGATTCAGCTCATCGGCTTCGAATTTCAAAGTTTCCTTCTTCAAATTAACGTCGTTCTTTATAGTGATCGCCTTCTGATGCTCTATATACGGCACCGGCGGGGGTGGAATCATCGGTCGGTAAGCATACCGACCCCAATTGGAGGGTTCTATATGGGGCCCACCCCAACGGTGGTGGTGGTGATGATGATCGTAAGGCGCCGGAAGCGGCAACGGCACGGGCGGCTGCCCTGGGTACTGGTAGTACTGGGGCGGGTTGGTGTTCAGATTTTGGGGCGGGTAAGGGGTTGCGGCGGCAAAGACATAGCGGTTGGCGGGGATTTCAGTTTGCGGCCGAGCCGGAGGAGGCGGCGGTAGTGGCGGAGGGTGGTTCCGCCGGCTTCCGTGTCTTCTCCGGCCATTCACTCGGCTACTTCCGATGTTTCCCATGAATTTTTTCCCGGTTTTCGGAATATAAAGTAAAATCAACCAGAATTTTTTGCAAAAAAGAAAAAATTATAAAGGAATGATTTCTATAACAAAACTATTTCCGGGTTTCTTGTAAAAAAATCCAGGGTTTACCATTTTATTCCCTCAAAAACCCCCAAGAAAATGAAAAGAAAAACGAGGATTGCTTCCTATTTCTTCGTTTCATTTTTCTATCAAAATAATAAAAAAATAAGAGAATCTTTGGTTGGGTGAAAGTTGGGCTAGCTTAAAGCTCCCCCAAAACCACCATTGATGAAGAGATATAAATTGTGCTAAAGTTGACATCTTTTTCTTTTTTCCATTTTTGTTGTTTGATGGCGAAAAAAAGTCTGAGTTTTTAGGTTAATTACAATTTATGTTTTATTAATCAATGATCAACAAAGTTTTCAAAGCAGAAATCATTTCAAAAATTGGATGTAGAATTAACAAAAAATTTAATTTTATACGTCTCAGATCAAATGTCAGTCAATTTATTGTTGAAAACGAAATGCTTTACAGGTATTCTCCACCTATCTCGTATCAGTAATATGGCTTGTTCCACTGCAAATACCAAATAAAACCCTGAAATCAACAAACAAAATTAAAATCTTGGTAAAAATACCCCTGTACTTAAGAAAAATAAACGTAGTAATCGTATTATTTTTTTGATTTAAAAAATCATATTAAAAAAATAATACAGTCAAATTAATTTTTTCAAAAGTACAAACATACCTTATGCCGTTTTGCCTAAAATCTTCTAGTTGTCCTTTGAATTTTGCGGCAGAAATAATAATAATTCACAATCTTTTGTTGGAGATTTCCCGGAAGTTATGTTATGCAGCAGTTAAAATACTGCTAAAAAAAAATAACGTCATCGGTTAAATAAGTGATCAGATAAAATTTATATTGGTTATGTTATATTATTTAATCAAAAATATTATCAAGTACAATAACATATTAGGTAACACTTATATAATGTAATAAGTGACTCTTATATAATAAAATATTATCCAAAAATATTTAACTGGAAATATTATCAAATACAATAACATATTAGGTAGCGTTTATATAATAAAATAAATATTTAACCGGAAATATTATCAAGTACAATAACATATTAGATAGCATTTATATAATGTAATAGGTAGCGCATACATAACAAAAAAGGTTTTTAACCGAAAATATTATTAAGTACAATAACATATTAGGTAGCTCTTATATAATGTAATAAGTAGCGCTTATATTAACCTATTTTCTAACTAAACCGATATATTTATACCGGTAACATTACAAATTTACCTATTAAATTATAATTATCAATTTCGATGTTTTTGGGATCTATACAATTTTAAATGTATCGACACTTTATGCGTGCACCTTATTGGGCATTCATTCTGGAAAAAAGTATCGACACAAACTTAAAACGTGTCGATACATTATGTAGACCTATTTTCTCATAAAACCGATATATTTCTACCGGGTACATTGTAAATTTACCTATTACATTGTAATTATCGGTTTCGATGTTTTTGGGATCGATACTTTTAATAAATGTATCGACACTTTATGCGTGCACCTCGTTTGGCATTCATTCTGGACAAAATATATCGACACTTTTTAAATTTGTTTCGATACATTATGTTGGCATATTCTCTCATAAAACCGGTATATTTATACCGGTTACATTGTAAATTTACCTATTACATTATAATTATCGGTTTCGATGTAACATATGTGTCGATACTTTTAGAAAATGTATCGACACATACGTTTAACTATTCTCTCATTATAATATAATTAATGATATATTATTCTTATTATAATAAATAATAAATATAATTTATAATAATTTTATTTTAATAAAATATAATAATCATAATTTTTATTTATAAAATTATAGATATAATATTTTAATTAAAATATTGACATAAATAATATTAAATAAATCGTTCTAATATTTTAAAATAATATTATTATTTTGTTAATAAATAATATTATTTTATTGTATTTGATGTTTATAGTTATATTGTAATTATGATTATTTTTCATCACTTCATTGTAATTATTTTTAAAATTATATTGTAATTGTATATAATATTTTATTATTATTAGATAGCTAATATCGAAATAGAAATACCGTGTCCTTTTTTTCATTAGTTATATTGTGGCAACTTTCAAACTAAAAAATTAAAATTAAAATTAATTTGTATAATTTGTGTTTACTAATTTTATCATTAAAAAGTATATTTTTACCGATTTTGTTATTGTTGGGCATAATAAAACCGGTAAAAATTACATAAAATATTATTATTTCTACCTAAAACATCAATGTTTTTTAACATTTCCGGTAAAATGCTCAACAATAACAAAACCGATAAAAAAAATAACAAAACCGGTAGCGCTTTACCGGTTTTGTTAAAATAATGATGTTTTCGGTAATTTTTACCGGTTTTGTTATTGTTGTATACCGGTTACATTGTAAATTTACCTATCACATTATAATTATCGGTTTCGATGTAACATATGTGTCGATACTTTTAGAAAATGTATCGACACATATGTTTAACTATTCTCTCATTATAATATAATTAATGATATATTATTTTTATTATAATAAATAATAAATATAATTTATAATAATTTTATTTTAATAAAATATAATAATCATAATTTTTTATTTATAAAATTATAGATATAATATTTTAATTATAATATTGACATAAATAATATTAAATAAATTATTCTAATATTTTAAAAATAATAATATTATTTTGTTAATAAATAATATTATTTTATTATATTTGATGTTTATAGTTATATTGTAATTATGATTATTTTTTATCACTTCATTATGATTTTTTTTTAAAATTATATTGTAATTATATATAATTTTTTTTTATTTTATTATTAAAAAGCTATTATCGAAATAGAAATATCATGTCCTTTTTTTCATTAGTTATATTGTGGAACTTACAAACTAAAAAATTAAAATTAATTTGTATAATTTGTGTTTACTAATTTTGTCATTAAAAAGTCTATTTTTACCGATTTTGTTATTGTTAGGCATAATAAAACCGGTAAAGATTACCTAAAACATTATTATTTCTACCTAAAACATCAATATTTTTTAACATTTAGGGTAAAATGCCCAACAATAACAAAACCGATAAAAAAATAAGAAAACCGGTAGCGCTTTACCGGTTTTGTTAAAATAATGATGTTTTCGATAATTTTTACCGGTTTTGTTATTGTTGTATACCGGTTACATTGTAAATTTACATATTACATTATAATTATCGGTTTCGATGTAACATATGTGTCAATACTTTTAGAAAATGTATCGACACATATGTTTAACTATTCTCTCATTATAATATAATTAATGATATATTATTTTTATTATGATAAATAATAAATATAATTTATAATAATTTTATTTTAATAAAATATAATAATCATAATTTTTTATTTATAAAATTATAGATATAATATTTTAATTATAATATTGACATAAATAATATTAAATAAATTATTCTAATATTTTAAAAATAATAATATTATTTTGTTAATAAATAATATTATTTTATTATATTTGATGTTTATAGTTATATTGTAATTATGATTATTTTTCATCACTTCATTATGATTTTTTTTAAAATTATATTGTAATTATATATAATTTTTTTATTTTATTATTAGAAAGCTATTATCGAAATAGAAATATCGTGTCCTTTTTTCATTAGTTATATTGTGGCAACTTACAAACTAAAAAATTAAAATTAATTTGTATAATTTGTGTTTACTAATTTTATCATTAAAAAGTCTATTTTTACCGGTTTTGTTATTGTTGGACATAACAAAACCGGTAAAAATTACCTAAAACATTATTATTTCTACCTAAAACATCAATGTTTTTTAACATTTCCGGTAAAATGCCCAACAATAACAAAATCGGTAAAAAAATAACAAAATCGGTAACGCTTTATCGGTTTTGTTAAAATAATAATTTTTTCGGTAATTTTTACCGGTTTTGTTATTATTGTATACCAGTTACATTGTAAATTTACCTATTATATTATAATTATTGGTTTCGATGTAACATATGTGTCAATACTTTTAGAAAATGTATCGACGCATATGTTTAACTATTCTCTCATTATAATATAATTAATGATATATTATTCTTATTATAATAAATAATAAATATAATTTATAATAATTTTATTCTAATAAAATATAATAATCATAATTTTTTATTTATAAAATTATAGATATAATATTTTTAATAATAATATGGACATAAATAAAATTAAATAAATTATTCTAATATTTTAAAAATAATTATTTTGTTTATAATATTTTGTTAATAAATAATATTATTTTATTGTATTTGATGTTTATAGTTATATTGTAATTATGATTATTTTTTATCACTTCATTATGATTATTTTTCATCACTTCATTATGATTTTTTTTAAATTATATATAATTTTTTAAATTTTTTTATTATTATTAGAAAACTAATATCGAAATAGAAATACCGTGTCCTTTTTTCATTAGTTATATTGTGGCAACTTACAAACTAAAAAATTAAAATTAATTTGTATAATTTGTGTTTACTAATTTTATCATTAAAAAGTCTATTTTTACTGGTTTTGTTATTGTTGGGCATAACAAAACCGATAAAAATTACCTAAAACATTATTATTTCTACCTAAAACATCAATGTTTTTTAACATTTCTGGTAAAATGCCCAACAATAACAAAACCGGTAAAAAAATAAAAAAACCGGTAGCGCTTTACCGGTTTTGTTAAAATAATGATATTTTCGGTAATTTTTACCGATTTTGCTATGCACAACAATAACAAAACTGATATATTTTACCCGGTAAAATGCCAAATAATAACAAAACCGGTACAAATAATGATGTTTTCGGTAATTTTAACCCGTTTTGTTATGCACAACAACAACAAAACCGGTACCGCCTTTTTTAGCCGTATATTAAGCGCCTCACGTGAGCATTTCTCAGATTTTCCTAGTGAAGTCATTCATATAATAATA